GTCGTAGGTACGGGCAGGGGGGGACAGGACTTTGGGGACAGCTGGTGGCAGGTCCCTCAGGTGGGGATGCTTCCCATGAAAAGCGACGTCTCCTTTAAATGTTGTTTACTGCTGGAGCTGCCTTTTTCTGCTCTGCTATTTTGGTCACAGCTGTCCTGATGCTGCTTCTAGCAGAAATTCCAGGTGTCCTTACGAGTCGCAGCTGGGAGGAGAGCCCTTCCTTTGCCAGCCAGCATGTGGTTTTGCTCCCCTTTAACACATCCCTCTCTCGGCAGGCACAAGCCCTCACGCTCCGACCAGCGTACACGTTGTGGTCGCCATGACCTCAGCCAACGTCTCCTGGGAGCCCGGCTACGACGGTGGATACGAGCAGACTTTCTCAGTTTGGTACGGCCCTCTGTGAGTCATCCCGGCATGCTTTTGCTCTCTGCTTCTTTTCCTTCCTAGCCGACCCGAGCTTCGAGCAGCCGGGGGGAGGAGGGTGGTGAGGGTGGGGGGCCTGGCTCTGTGCCCACAGGCATTGCGAGGCTGAGCTCCCGTTCGGCGCCTCGGAGAGATGGGTGGTGGTGGGATTGTGTAGTTCCAGTGTTTCTTCTTCCTCCTGTGGTAGCCAGTACCTCCGTCTGCCCCAGCAGGTTTTATTTTGCTTATGGAACAAGGCAGACGCACTTTGCATTCGTGTAACTTTGCCTCCGGCATCTAATTTCAAGATAAACTGTTTATGAAGCTTAACAGCCAGGGAGAGGATAGAAAATGCAACCTTTATAGAGTGCGTCCGGGAAGAGCTGTGACTAAGCAGAAATGATCTCTCCTTGCTCTGTGGCTCCCTGGAGGTGGTTAAATCCCTGCTGAGTTCACAACCAGCCACTGTGAGGTGCCTGCTGGGGCTTTGCTCACATCATTTCTGTGCCAGCCTGCCCTGCCTGGCACCCAAAGCCAATGGGTGCGTCCTTGCCTTCCTACAGTGGAGCTGGGCTTGGCCCTGCCAGCTTTCCCCCAGGGCACGGGAGGGAAAATGTAGCTGCAGTGAGGTCGGAGTTTTCTTTGGGCTCTTGTCTTGCCCTTCAGAAGAGCTGTCCTTGAAAACGTGGAGGGCTGGTGTTCTTCAGCCTTTCTTCTCACTCTCTCTTTCCTTCCTTGCCTTAATGTGCCCTGATGGAGACTGCTGATAAAGTGGAAATAGGGTAGACGCTGCCTGTAATGATTTCTGCTCTGCTCCAGCCCGAGGCTGGACACTCACAGGGAGGGGCTGGGCAGTCTGTCAGGAGATGGAAAGAGGAAGGAATGGAGTGAGCAGAAAGGAAAAAGAGGGAGCTAGCAGAGCGGTGCTGCAGACCTGTAAACGTCCTTGGGAAGGAGTGGTTAAACCTTTCTGCTCTGGAGACGTGCTCACCTTGGAAGGAGGTGGCAGCTGCTGCTGCCCTTGCTCCACAAGCTGCTACGGGGATCCTGCCTCCTCGAGGCTCTTCCAAACCCTGCGCTGGGGAGAGCATTGTGAGAGAAGCTTGCCTTTGGAAATTTACAGGGTGCTGGGGGCACCTGGCATAGGGAGGCAGAGACCTGGGGGCTCTGCTGCTCCCTGGGATGGTGCTGTGTCACCTGGTGCTGGCCGGAGCTGGCCATCCGTGTGTTTTCTGCCTCGCTGTGACTGCGAGATGCTCCAACAACACATGGCTTTGCCTGCTGCAGAGCTCGTGCTCTCCTGCGGTTGTCCATGCTGAAAATGCAAACCCATCTCCCCAGGGACGGCCAGGGCCACCGCAGCATGCCACCTGCACACACGCTGGCCTCTCTTCTCCCGTCCTCGGGGTCGATGGGCTGCATTGACCCTTCACTCTTCCCACTCACAGCCCCTTGCCGTTGCCTGCCCACCCGCAGCAGCGCTGGGAAGAAGCTGGACGTGAAGTTGGTGGGATTAAAGGCAGGAGGGAAACCCGCTGGCTCAGGGCAAAGGGCTGCTCCGATGCCATCCGTGCCTGCCACGGGAGATCCTGGGAGCTGTAGTCCCAGCCAGAGCTGCAGTGATACACAGGCTTTCTTGCTGGTTTCCATAGCTTGCTGCTGCTTCTCCTGCCTCGCCTTTTGCACCCTTTACAGCAGTGTTATTTGTTTTTGCTCCATCGTTTACTTCCTGCTTGGTGGATTTAACTAGCTGTATGCTGCTGGCTACTGATATGCCCTATGCAGAATTAGACCCTCTGCAGTAATCCTTCCCAAATCCTCTGTGGACACCACGGAAAACCTGCAGCCGAGGGCTGGGACTCCCTAGAGCATCTCTCTAAGATGAGCACTTGCAGTGTCGTTGCAGTGCAGTAAGGCTGCTTCAGGGTGTGGGGCTCTTTCACCGTGCTGCTTCCCAGCAGGGCTGTGGTTTGTGGAGGTGGCTGCACGCTCCTGTGCTGGGGTCGTACTGGGATGGCTCTGGGAGCTTTTTTTTTTTGCCCTGGGTTTATGGGTGTCCTGTGCTCTCCGCGCAAGTGCCTCTGCTGCACTACTAAAACCCAGAATTGTGCCCTAGGCTGTGCTGGCAGTCCCTGATTTGTGCAAATATGGCAAAAATGGTGATTTAGTTAAATGCCTCTTGTGGGATTACATGTACAGGACTACAGCTGAGGGAGAACTTGGCTCTGGCTCAGGGGCTGTCGAGGTATAAATGGGAACAGGGCCCATCTCCTGCTCCATCCATCCCCGTTGCTGCACTTAATGGAGTAAAAATGTGCCAGCGTCCACTTTAGCCCGTGGGATCTGAGGGAGATAACCTCAGAGCAGGTCTGTCGGCGCTGCTTTTGTCCCTGATCCTGCTCAGAGGGTGCAGGTGGTGCACGGCAGAGGGGAGGGCTGCTAGCCCTGTCCGTATGACCTGGGGGATGCTGGCGTGGCACGAAGGCACGGTGCCCTGTGCCTGGCAGTCCTCGCGTGCGCCGTCCCCGAGCCAGCTCTTGGGTGAGTCCGTACATCGCTGCTGTCAAACCAAACCATCGCTCGGGAAAGCTCCATTTTTCGCTCGAGAAGTTAATGCTGCCTCTTTGTCCTCCCTGTCGAAGGCACCTTCCCTGAGGATGCTCCCTTTTCTCTCCGCAGGATGAAGAGAGCCCAGTTCGGCCCTCACGACTGGCTGTCTCTCCCTGTGCCAGCTGGTTCCAGTTGGCTACTGGTGGATACCTTGGAACCGGAGACTGCGTACCAGTTCAGTGTCTTGGCTCAAAACAAGCTGGGTACCAGCTCCTTCAGCGAGGTGGTCACTGTGAACACTCTAGGTAGGTCCTCCGTGGGCATGCGAGGAGGAAGGGGAAGGGATTCAGGAGGTCCATGGGGACAAGTGGCCCTTTGCCGTGGTCTGTGTGTCCTGTCTGCTGGGGATGGAGGTGGTGATGGGTGGTGGTAGTTTCTGCCCACATAGAAGATAGTTTGTGGTGTTTCCTGTATGAAGCTCGTAGACTTTGCAGGAGGTATGAGACTCCTGAAAGCTCGTCTGAAGAGACAGCGTGGGAGAGCTGTGCTGTACCAGTCACCTTTCAGATCTTCCTTAGGTTCATCTGGGGTCAGGAGGTTTTAATGGAGCACAAAATCACCTGCGTGCGGCTCAGAGCAGCAGCTGACACAAAGGGCTTTGTGCTGGTACCTGCTTTGGGGCTGTCTCAGACGGAGCTGGGAGGCAGCAGGAGCTTTTCTAACACTGTGCCCCTTTTCTTGGAGTCACTGCATTTAATCCCCTGCTTTTTGGAAAGCCACTTGTGTAGTTCTGAGATACGAGAGCACATGCCTGAGATGTGCCCTAAACTCCTGCAAGGTGGGAGCTGCTGCATCCTCTGTGCTTCCCCTCGCCCCATCTCAGTGTTGTCCCTGTCCCATCTGCTCTTTCTCCAGCATTCCCTGTAACAACTCCAGAGCCTCTGGTGTTGGTTACCCCACCGAGGTGCCTAACAGCCAACCGGACACAGCAAGGCGTCCTCTTGTCGTGGCTTCCTCCTGCTAACCACAGCTTCCCCATCGACCGCTACATCTTGGAGTCCCGCATCGCGGAGAGGTGGGAGATCTTGGACGATGGCATCCTGGGCACCGAGACCGAGTTTTTTGCCAAGGACTTGTCCCTGGTACGCAGAGGCTACTCACCTCTGGTGTTGCCACCATCTACTGCAGTGCTGGGGAAGCTTTTTGGGGTGGCTTGGTCCCCACGCTGGGATCTTTAAGCAGTTGGAGGCTGAGTTGGGGGACCTGACGAGTGTGTTTGGTGTTTCAGGACACCTGGTATGAGTTCCGGGTCCTCGCGGTCATGCAGGATCTCATCAGCGAGCCCAGCAACGTTGCTGGCGTGTCCAGTACAGGTAAGGCTGCTTCTTTTACCTTCAGTTGTGGGAGCATCTCTGCTTCTGAGCTAGCGTCATGCAGCAGCACTTGCTTACAGCAGCAATGGCTGCTTTGGTGCTTTTGCCCGAGATGCTCGGTCTGTGAGCTGGGCTGATGGTTGCCTGGTTAGGATCAGTGTCTGGGCACACTGCTGGCCCCGTGCTGCCTCCCGATGCAAATGGACCAGCAGCCCTCGGAGCGGGCAAGGACAAACAGCCTCATTTGGTCCTTCCCGTGGAGAGCAGCCTTGTCGTGTGTCCGCTGGCGCAGCGGCAGCACGTCTTGGCTCTGCGGGGTGCTCGCGGAACAAAGCTCTGACCGGGGCATTGCGCAGCCTGGAAATGGGAGTGAAAGGTGTGGAGAGGGAAACGTAGCACTGCAGTGCAGAGACTCCAAGGGGAAAAAAAAGAAAGCTTTGCAACAGGAGACTGCAACGCGCTGCAGCTCGTGTGCTTACCCTGCACCCTGATCTGGCTTGGAGGATGCTCCTCCAGCAAGGGACAGGCGAGGGGATGTATGTGATGGGGAAGGCGAGGGCAGCTAGGAGGAGATAGGGATGAGTCAAACCCTGCTTTTATGGCTGTGGGAAAAACCGAGGAATCACCTGGCTCCGCTGTGCGTGAGAATGCAGCGGTCTCTCTCTGCCCCCAAGTGGTGCCGGCTCTGTGTGGAGAGCTGCCTGCTTCCATGCCCTTCGTTTTCTCTCCCCATTCTCCTGATGGGCTTTGGCAGCGCTTGCGGGGTTTGCGTGCTTCCCGGCCCCAGCTGCCCTCCCAGGCTGAAAGCTGGTGCTCCGAACGGAGCGGCGAAAGTGCTGTTTTTGCAGGGTTTGCATCCACAAATGGCTGCAGCTGAGTGGATGTGCTCGTGGTTAGCAAAAGGGTGTCACAAGCCCAGTTTTCATTGAAGAGCCGAAATATTTTCCCCTGTGCAGCATACATTGTGCTGCTACAGCCTGAGCTGCAGGGAGACCGGGAGATAACTGCAAGTGTGGTGCAGTTGCTTGCACACACTGTGTTTGTGTGGTGTGGAGGCTTCTTCCTGGGGGTCCATCAGCCAAGCCAAAAAGGTTTATCTAAAGGTTTTGTTAAATCCCTTGGTGGTGGACTAACAAAGCCAAGTGCCGGGTCATGCGCTTT